AGGAGCAGCAGCAGCAGTAGCAGTTGCAGTAGCAGTGGCAGTAGCATTATTATTATTTGTATTCGTAGTAGTAGTAGTAGTAGTAGTAGTAGTAATAGTTTAGTAGCAGTAGTAGTAGTAGTAGAAGTAGTAGTAGTAGTAGTAGTAGTAGTAGTAGTAGTAAGCAGTAGTAGCAGTAGTAGTAATAGTAGTAGTAGCAGCAGGAGTAGTAGTAGTAGTAGTAGTAGTAGTAGCAGTAGTAGTAGTAGAAGAAGAAGAAGAAGAAGTAAGTAGTAGTAGCAGTAGCAGTAATAGTAGTAGTAGTAGTCGTCGTCGTCGTCGTCGTCGTCGTAGTAGCAGTAGCAGTAGCAGCAGCAGCCGCAGCAGTAGTACTGGTAGCCGTCGTCGTCGTAGTAGTAGTAGCAGCAGCACCAGCAGTTGCTGCTGCTGCATCGGAATTTTGTTATCCTGAAATGTCTACTCCTGTTCCATCCATGTGCTCGCCTTGGCCGTGGTAGCACATGTTTTTCATCAGAAGGTATGCGAGGACCGAATTAGGGGTGTGTTGCGAAGATTTGCAAGGCCGTATACAATAGCTAATTAGCTAGGCTGTGCTTCGGGATTCCTTTCATTCGTGGTGTATTTCACGCGATCTCACGTGTGCGGAGAATTTGCACGCTGGTCTGCACCAAGCAGGCACAGGAATTGTTCAGAAAGTCCGCCGCAGCAAGTAAGAGGTCGTCCTCAAGAACAAAACACGAAAGTGCATGAAGCGACACGCAGGGTTTCGCCTTTACAAACTGTGGCTAGGAACCAGGTACGGGAAAGAAAGCAACAGTCACGTATGTGCATACATATCTACATGCACCCGCAGACAGCCAGAGAGAGAGAGAGAGAGACAGAGAAAGAGAGTTCTTTCCTCGCGGGCGTCGGGGCAATAGCCGCCCCCAGACACCGCTCCTTCCTTCAACAGATAGGCCTGCCCTTGTGAGGGGCATGCTCTCTGAGGCTTGGTGAAGGAAACACAGGAAGCGAGGAAAGGGAAGTTGCAGAGAAACGGATTAAAAAACACGGGGCATTCAGGGACGGCTGCTCGGCCATAATGATTGCCAGTGAAAGAAATACAGGAAGAGAGGAAGCGGAAGTTGCAGAGAAACGGATTTACAAGCACGGGGCGTTTAAGGACGGCTGCTCGGCCATAATGATTGTCAGAGAACTTTTCGGTCCTCGGCGAGTTTCGATTGTTGCGCACAGTGCGTTCAATGGTGAGCATGCCAGACATCCAACCGAAGTATCTGCAGGGCTTTCTTTGGTCAACGAAGGAGTAACATCGATGCCTTCTCTTGTCTTACAGAACCGCTTGGGGGCTTTCCTAAGAGTTTTGAGGCTCGGGGTTGAGGCTTGGGTTTAGGATTTAGGCTGGGCAATGATCGAACGAAGGCTAGGTTCCGATCAGTAGCAGTAGCTGCGTGTCAAGTGTTTAGACTTCATGCTTATGAGGTTCACCGTTTTACCCTAGACGCCACATGCCCGAACATTGCCATGGGCCAGCTAACCAAAGCTCTTGACAGAGAATCATGTATTCGTCCTATCGTATGGCAACAAAGACACTGGCGTCGGCACGACACCATCTTTCAACAAACAGCTTTGCGAAGTCCTTCGGTCATCATATGTGGGACAGACAGCGGTGGAAGCAGCGCTAAAGCAGAAATTCCCAATCCCCCGCACAACCGAAGGCATAGAGCGAACACTACATCGCAATTCCCATGCCAGAGGCTTTCAAGCGAATCAAGGTCTGTGGCTGGCTCGGAAGAGCAGGGGTTTCAAAGCCACGAGACCCTAAATCTTCGAGCATAGATGCACGGAAAGACGGGTGGGCACATGAAGGATCGATTCTTTCGATGATTGGGTGCTAGGCAGTACGGTGTAGGCCACAGCATGCACGACGAGTCGGTTCAGGGTGAAGCGTTGGGTCGGAATGTTGGAGTTTGCACCACGCCGGCCCTTGAAGCAGATACACGCATTCAGGTGAAGAAGTCTTCGCATTTGGCTTTCCCTAAACCTCAACCCTTACTGTCCTAGAGCTCCAGATCCTAGGCTCTACAGAATGCCCCGCATCCTTTGTGCCTGCAAACAGAGTTCCACTGAGGCCAGATTGCAGGGGGAGATGGCCACACAGACCGAGACCCAGAGATGCTAAGGTTGGCGGTAAACGGCACACGGTCTGGAAGTGACGCGAAATCATTGGGAGTGTCCGGGGCAGCATGCACGATCGGTTCAAGCAGATCGATCTAAAATCAATTGTGCAGTCTTCACTAGTCGTGAGAAGCATGCTGCTGCCGGCTAGGTGCTGCATCAGAATGCTTTCACGGGTCGGGGTTTGGTTGCTAAAGCTCTGGAACCAACAATCTGGTGCGGGGCTTGTGCAGTTGGCTCTTTCGGTTTTTGCAGGATGTGCGCGGCCTGCATTCAGAACTGCACTGCTTTGTGGCCAATGGAGCCACGATTTGCGAGGTCATCCCCCTTCAAACTCGATCTGGTCTCGCTCATGCAGCGTGGCCAACCCACCCTGGCCGCAGGACATGGCAAACAGGAACAATGTCCTGTGGTACTAGACAGGCACTAGTGGCACTAGTACATACTTGCGAAAGCTGGCGCGTGTCCACCTGCGCTGGCAGTCTGGCGGGCGGTAGCATCACCGTCGGGTGAAGCATTGGTTGGCAGTGTGGCTTCTAGCAATGGCGACTCCTTTGGGGTTGGAGACTTGCTCGAGGCCCCGACGCTTGGGACCAGGTACGTGAGTCTGACGGTGTGGGTGGTGCTTATGCCCCGGGGTGGCCACCTGGCTTTCGGATCGCGGTAGCGGGCCCTGCAGTTCGAAGATCGATGCTCCGTGTGTGGAGCTCGTGTGTCGATCGATAGCTGCAGGGTTCGGAGATCGCTCGGTACACGCTCGATGCAGGCCAGTGAAAACGCTGGAACATCAATCACTGCTCCAAGACAGACAGGACCACGGACCCCCTCCCCCAACCCCTCGCCAGCCCTCGCACCCAACCCCTGCCACACCAAACTGAAGAGATGCAACCCGGTTGCGCACCCATCCACCAAGGCCCTAGAAGACATACACCTATCCAGCGCCAAATCCCAAACTGCTCTTTACCCTGAGGCCAACCAATGGCCACCGCACTGACCCCACAGCCTAACCAACCCACAAACCTCAACTGATGGATCCAAAACCGAAGCTCCAAATCCGAAACCCAACTTTCCCAGGCGGCAGTGACGGTCCACGGCAAGCTGTACAGCTGGGGGGCGAGTGCTTGCGGCCCCTTGGTACTCTTTTGCACATTCGGGTACAGGGGTTTATGAAGGGCCCGTTTAGTTTCGGAATTGGGTTCAGGGGCTCGGCTCTAAGAGACCACCAACAGCAGATAATTAGGAGAACCCAGGGCAGGGCTGAACTGTCGCAGCTGCCGGCTGTGGCGAATACAGCCTCGGCAAATGATTCGGACCTCGACATTTGGAGAGGTGGGTCTTTTTAGGCAGTCGAATGGTGATGTTTCGTTAAGGCAGATCTTGGAAAATGTCATACCGATTTAACTGCATCCGGCTCTCAACCGCATGCCAATTTCCAAGCTGTCCGGCTTGGGGTGGTGCTCTCAAGCAACAGTTTAAATCCTGATCTACTTGCATCATCTGGGTATCACAGTAAGTGTCGAGTAGACCCTTGCCACGTTCATGAAACAAGTAAATTGTGTTGGGGGTCGCAAACGCCCGATGCCAGGCCACTGATTCAGAGCTGAGGGTTTTTGAATTCCTGCACTCCTTCCTGCAGCTTACCCACATGACATAAGCCCCACCGACCCAGAAAGAAGTGTCCAGGAAGCCTCCGAGTGTTAAATGCCCCCAAGCTACCAGCCTTGTTCAGATCCGCCCAGGCCAGCTCGGGCATTGCCCCTTGTGCTGAAATCGGCCATCATATGTTGGGCTAGCGGCTAGTGGTGACGGGGTTTGGCGAGGTTTGGGGAGGTTCAAGGTTTCGGATGTGGCTTTGGGGCTCGGGGTGGAGATACGTGTACAAGATGTGGGTTTGTGGGTTTCGGCTGTGAGCCACAAGCCCGCGCTTGAACCTTCTGCAATGTTCCCGGGTAGGAACCTGAACAGGTACTGTAGTAGCTAGTAGGACCTGTGGGAAGTAGGGAATTCCTTTTGTGCTTCTAGGCTACAACAAACGAGCGACCCTGTGGTCATACCTGGGGACAAACGTTCCAGCATTACAAGAGTGAGCGGTGTACAGTTCTTTTCGAGTCGGGTTAAGGTTCAAAGGCGTGAGGCAGCTTGCCTGGACTCCTGGACAGATCCCAAACCTTCAGCGTAAAGCCGGACTGCAGCCGCACAGTATGTCTCCAAAGTTAGCAGCTGCGCATTATTGACAAGCCAGAAGAAGCTGCCGTGGCCGTTGATGGGTCAGGCGATACCGAGCACATGCCAAAGGATGTGTGCAGCTTAGACGGGTTTTCCAAGACTTGGTTTTCGTGTCAGCCTTGCATGGAAGATGGGTCATGAGTCAGAATCACATCAGCCTCAGCTGAATCAGGACACAGTCTTGATCAAGTGTTAACAGGCATTTCAGCCTGTCAGCCTCGAGCTGTGGGATATGTGGAACTCAGCACTCAGTAACCATTACTGCGGAAGCCCGGTCTACCTGGTACTGCTAGGTGTCAGACCACGCCAACCCTGCGAGTTCCATCCTGGCCAGAAGATCAACAGAGAGTGCCATACAGCCTAGATGCTGGAGTGGGCTGTGAGGTCGAGGGATATCCATACCAGCCGGTTCCTTTGTTGGTTCACAGCCTGCAGGACCGGGTTGAAAAGATTGCTTTGGATCGGTTTGCGGCTGTGGAGATCTGCCTGTGATGTTCTTCGCCCGTTGCTGCAGCTGTTAACTGCAACACTCGACATGAGAAGGAGCCAAGAGTATGTGATGAAGCCTCAGCCACAGACAAGCCCCAAATCCGTCACTGTGGAACCGCGATCCCCATCAACTCCGACGCCTACCCTGGTTCCGCACATCGATTCTGTCCATCATTCCGGGAAAGCCGAAACACTCGAAGCCAAAACCTTCTTGCAAAGCCCCAGCCGGAGCCCTAAAGCCACTCCGGGGTGAGGCCTCTCGGGGTTCAGGGTTTAGGAGGTTCAGGTTAGGTTTTGAGTGGAATCCGGTAGCCTAGTCCCACTCTTGCAGGACGTGTGCATAGTTCAAATTGCCTGCGGCGATGCGCACACCGTGGCGCTGTCTCGGGAGGGCGCTTTGTACAGCAGGGATCCCTGTCGGACAGTGGCTTCGCCACGTATCTTGCCCTTCCAGATAAGCTCGTTTGCTCATCGATAGCTCACCGGGCTCAACAGACCCAGAGTACACCCCAAACGAAAAGGTCTTGGGGGAAGCGGCCCTGAACCGACATCCTGCACCCCTTAAGCCCAAAAGCCCCAAGTCGTGAACCACAAACCCTGAGCTCGCCCGAACACAAAGTTTGTGACTGTTTCTCGGTTTTCGCATTGTAGGTCCTCTCTGAGTTTGTCAGGTCTCTTGCAGCTTCTTGCCCCGGTGTTTGGCAAGTCTGCCGGCTGGTTCTTGCAGTGTAATGTAAGGGCATCAGTTTGGCTTCGAGTGTTTTGCTGTTTGGTTCGAAGTCTTTAGGTCGACTTCCCTGCACACAGGCTGTGCCTCGTAGGTTTTTTCGCACGGTTTCACTGTTCAGGTTGCAACAACAAGTTCCAAACAACACATCCATTTAAACTTCTTGAATAACCTTTGAGTTCATGCAATCCCAGAATGAGCCAGAAGTTAAGACTGTGACCGAGTATACAGATAGGTCTTCCCATCAAACCTTGCGGGCATCGGGTATCCTTCACAGCGCCCAGATGCCTCTAGGATGCCTGTCGGAGATAAAAGCATCAAGCTGTTATGATCTTGGTAGATGCAATGTACACAATCAGGCCGCCGTCCGTTGCACACCGTACCAAGCCCTGTCAGACCATACATAACCTGTCTAAATCCCCATCAAGAAGAGAAGCACATCGCCCGAGGTTGGGGCGGCGGTGGCTGCGGGCAGCTTGGCCACTCGGAGACTTCCAAGATGCCGGGAAGCTCAGAGGGTTCACTGAGGGTTCAGGGTTCGGGGCGTTGGGTTGAGGCTTCAGGGGACAGAAACCTCAACAGCTTTTTTCAACCATGCATAGGGTCGAGGGTTTAGGATAGCAAGCTCAAGAGTAAAATCATGGGAGATTTTGCTTCATCTGACTACGATCGGCCCATCCGCAAGCCTCCGAATTTTTCCCGATGCTGTTGCTAAGACGAACGAGAGGTTTTTCAACGTCCTTCAAATTTTGACATGTGGTGTTCAATCAACTGGCAGGTTTGTACACTTTTACAGAACTTTCAGTCGACGTTTGGCTCAGCGCTTGTCAGCTGTGCTGTGCGATCGCAATCAGTTCCACTGCTTGACGCTAGAGGCCGCTACAGGCAGCTAGAGGCAGTGAGTTAAACGCAGTCCAGACGGAAGGAGTACAGAGGTTCCGCGTTCCGACATGCGGATGTGAGCTATGTAGGGGCGCTGAGTTTTGGGTTCTATAACGTAGGTCTGGGATGTGTGGCGTCGGGGTTTGGGTTGCGTTCAGTCCAAAAACCCCTGAGGATGCGTGCGTTCCGTTTTTGACATTTGCGGGTTTTTTTCGGGAGTCTGTCGCAATGCCGCCTGAATTCCTGGCCAGACAGATATGTGTACTCCCAATAGATCCCAGACATAGCGCAGAGATAGCAGGCTTAGGTTCCAAGGGTTGCTGCAAGGATTCAGGTCGTTAGGAATGTGAGTTCTGATGTGGGTGTATGATGAGCCTTAGTAGAAAATGGTATCTGAAAATCGCATGAGCGATAGCGACGCGTTTTGAAAGGGCCATGGTGCCAGCTTACAAGCAGAAAAGCACCACGAGGAAACGGAACTCTGCATACCCCCCCTATCTCCAGAGTTCCAGCCTGTCTCAAACTCTGGGCAAGGCCCAAGGATGAGGATGGCTGCCCGTACCAGCTCACCCCAAGAGCACTGGCCTTAGCAATGTGAGCATTGATATTTAGTGCTACCATGGCTTGCGTTTGTTGCCAAACCCTCCGTCTGTACTAGTGGAGATATTTCGCTCCGTGTTGCTGAGAGTACGGATAGGGGGAGAATGCCGCAGAAAGAACTAGTAGTAGTTAGAGTCGTAGTCATAGCCGTCGTAGTAGTGGTCGTAGTCGTCGTCGTAATTGGAGTGGTCGTCGTCGTCTTAGTAGCAGCAGCGGCAGCAGTAGTAGCAGTAGCAGTAGCAGTAGCAATAGTGGTAGTAG